GCAGCTTGTGTCCTCCATATGCATCTTCTCAGTGAGAGTGAATGATACAAGCAGCGAGAGGAGACACTACAGCTCTAATGGCCGTAAAGCTTTAAACAGGATGTTCTATAGCCATTTGTGTTCATGATGTATGTTTTGATCATCCCCTCTCCTGCCACAAAGCCCATTAGCATGTGAGTCGGTGTATCTCGTAAACATACAAACAAAATGTCCTACTTCTGTTACCAAAAAAAGTTCAGTTTTCATCAGTCATTAACACTTATAAAGGATCCAAGTGGACTTTTAGTGAAATCGTGGTTAATATTTTCTTTATATCCCACTTTTGTCCCCTGGTTGTTCACAGAATAACATCAAATACAAAATCCGTAAATATAGTTTATGACCTTTTTGGGAAATATACTTACGTGCTTTATTATTATTATTATTATTATTATTTCTTGCTGGGGGTTTGATGAGAAAACACGACGCCACAATGAGTGGAAATAAAGCGGAAATTTTATTGGCTCTGCTCAAAGGTAATAAACTCCTCGTGGATTTATGGGGGAGTTATACGCTGTTATAATAACCACGGAGTTATTAAGTCTGGCAAATAAATAATCCCACACATGAAAGCACAATGTGTTATTTTTCAAAGGTGTTAATCAGCGTTGTTTTGGACAGAGCCAGACTTTCTGCTAAGCGAAACTTTACTAGAGCTCAAGAGTGCTATCAAAAAGTGATTTCTCCTGGGCTCAGAGGAAGAGAAATGTGAAAAGTTTCATTTTTAGGAAGAGTAAAAAATGCCATTTTTCATGACGGCGGTAAAGAAAGTTAATTGTGTAAGGGGATGGAGCTCTGGGTACATTTATTTATTTATTTACCTGTTTGGAACTTGATTAGCATTATGAACATGAGTGTGAATGAACTGCACATATTAAAGTCTGACATGATTATTGGATATTTGAATCTTTTCCAGTTGTGGATTCTTCCCAGTATGGTCGGTGGGTCCGTCCTCTACTTTCTCTCCGTGGACCGATGGCATCGTGTCGCTGCCTGGCTCTATGGGAGCGGCCTCACCGGCTTATTCATCACCTCAACTCTTTTCCATACTGCTGCCTGGAAAATCAGCCACCTCAGGTGTGTGTTTGTGTGTGTGTTGGGGGGGAGGAAGTGCTGATAGGGATTTGGCAGATGTGCCATCGTGTACTTATGAGCTGCTCCGGTAGGTTTACGACACAGTTAGATGAACACTTTGTTTGTTGCAACCCAAAGGTTTTACAAAAACCAGACGAGGAACAATAATCAAGAAATTTCATGTCACTTTGGCTCACAAAAATGTGTTTTTGGTGAGTTTTTTGTTGTCAAAGTGTCCAGAACAGAAGATATTTGTGATACTGAGGTATGACAAGCAAATTTTATTTTGGCTAACAGCTTTTCCAAAACAACAACAACCAAAAAGCCCCACAAAGGAGAAAAAAAAGATTGTTATGGAATGGAGAGACAGGTTATTGATGGAAAAGATGGCAACTGAAGCGTTGCTTATGCACTTTTTATCTTCCAGGGGCAGTAGTCTCGCTTCTTTATATTTTGCTAGGAAAATGGGAACAAGGGGCCATGATTTATTGAAACATGCACAAAGATACTTGGAAATGCAGTTTATGAGCCAAAATTGGGTTTTGTTTAATTCTAACAAGCTTGAAAGTCAACATTTGGCATGACCACCTTTATTCTTTAACAGAGCCTGAACTCTTTTAGGCAGCTTTCTCAACATTTCTTTAAATTGTCTTTAGGAATACAGAGCTCTCAAAATTTCAAAATCCCTGGTAGCCCTTCAGGCAGGGACTCTTCAGTTTTTGGTAGCCCAAAATAAATTTAAGTAGCCCGAATAAAAAAGAGAGCAA